TGGAAGTTTGTGATTGCTCCTATGATCTTTTATTGTTTTGAACGCCTTTTAAGGATATACAGATCTTTCCAGAAGGTGACAATTTTGAAGGTGAGATATTAAAATATTATGGGTTTTTTGAAAAATTTCAACTGATGCTTTGGTCAACATGATATTTTAGATGAATTAGCCAGTAAGTGCAGCCAGGGAATCAGGGATCAAAATATCAATAACAGAATAGTGATGTTTCATTCCTGGGGGATCAGAATTGGTATTAACAGTACAAGCATGTAGTAAATAAATGTAATAAATATTTATTTGTGCTTCAGGTAATAAAACATCCTTCAAAAGTACTTGAGATTCAAATGAAGAAAGAAGGCTTTAGATGTGAAGCAGGACAGGTAAGGCCATAGAAATTCAGTTTCTTATTATTGATTTTTTAGTACACTTTGTAGGCTAGTTGTCCATTTAATTATTTTTAAACTTACCATGATAATCATTCTGTATTTTTTCAGTACATTTTCCTGAAGTGCCCCAAGATCTCACATCTGGAGTGGCACCCTTTCACACTGACATCAGTAAGTCTTTTAAATATCAAGCAATTGCTCAAATTTATGTTTNGGGAGCCTGTTTACTTGACTAGTTACTGACAGTAGTTTTTTTACACCATGCAAGTCCATACATTACACATTCATACTATGTACTGCTTACTTTTTCAAGTTACATTGCACCTTTGTTTTTTCAGCATAATTCTCTTTTTTTTTTTGGAACCCTTTTGAGCAATATGGTGTATTAGTTATATGATTATCTTTCATGTACACACATTTTATCTCTTGTATTTTGTGATCAATGTCTTGAGCAGTGAATATTTTTTGTTTTACACCACTGGTGATCACAACACCAAGAATTGTCCCAGGCTTCTTCTTTCCACAGTACCTGCAGTCTGCAGTAAAAGCTATTTTCATGCTGGGATTAATTATTTTGTACGCCATTTAGGATTTTGAGCATCACAAAACTAGTAATGTAAAGAGGAAACAAAATGCAGGGAAGTATGAATGGGAGTCAAAATTAGTGTTGATTTTACTTCTAATTAGACAGCAAAGTGGCACAAGTTTTTAAGTCAATCACTTATAGCATGATAACTTAAAACCAAAGCTAAATGAAAATTACTTTAGACACTCAATTGAGACCAGTGGCCCTGTGGCCACTATTATTTTGGTCTTAATATAATTATAGTTAAGGTCATTCCCCAGTATTGCATTGCGCATCCCTACTGTGCATAATTTCGCGCATGATTAGTGCGCGTGCATTAAAAAATGGTGGCTTTTTGTTTACAGCTGGACCTCGCCATAGAGGTAAATCGTCATTTTCTCGCAAGTGAGTATGGGGACCTATCATTTTTTTCTGTTGTTTTGAATTGAGTAATAAATTTCTCTGTGTAAGATAAATATGGACCAATTCTCAGTGTAGAACAAAAAGCAATCATTGGAAACGTGAATTTAGCAAGCAATCGTGACTACAATCATGGTGCTATTATAAGGATTTATATGGGTATAAACAAGGTGCTGTTGCTCCTAAACAAACATGGGGACCCCTCATTTTTATTTCAGAATTTAAGTTCCTATAATATAGACAATCAATAGGTAAAGTTTCACAAAAATCTCAGTGCAGGTTCTATTTCAGTGGAATGACCTTAAAAGAGTAAAAGGAAATTGTCATTGCTATACCAGGGAAATGTAATTATTTTATCACTGTTATAACTTTTAAGAATTTAAGTTTGCACGTTAAAAAATAGCTAGGTATTTGAATTTGAAAAGGTGAAATTAAAAATAAAAATTAAAAATGTTCAACATACAGTTAGAGTGCCATTTTTCAGCAACTTGTGAATTTTGTATTACTATAATAAATTGCAAGAGCTGTTCTTCTTTATAGAGTGTTAAACTTGTAAATAAAATAAATAAATAAATAAATTTTGTTACCACTGGACAATGAAGTGGAATCTCAATTTTTTGAACCTCCAAGGGGGAATAATCAGTTAGTGTGAGAAATCAGGGGTAAAAGTTAGTTTTCAACAGAGTNGGGAGGCAGCTTTTAGTTCGAGTTATCAGGATGTTGGAAAAATCGAGGGTTCGAGAAATAGGGATTCCGCTGTAGGTATTTTTCATATTGGTAGTTATTCTCACTACTGGGCCTAAGTGAAGTGGTTAAGTATCCCAGGAATTGGTGGAGCCAGCTTCATTCCGATTTCTGTGGTAATATGTGACTTGGAGTTTTCCATGAATGGATATTCACAGAACTTGTAATCCATTGAAGAATCTTTTTTTTTTTAAATTTATCCATTATCCATTGAAGGATCTTATTTTTTAATTTATTGATGCCATGTACAGTTATCTCAGTTTCTGTTCAAATTGAAACTACTAAACTTGTGGTGGGCTTGACCAACTAAAGATAAATGAGCAAGGCATTCCAACTTTGGATCACTTGTTGTTACTGTGATCTACTCTATCACTGCTTCAGTCTATCCACCCATACCCTGAGAAGGGAAGAGCAGATATTGTGATAACCTGTCAAAAAGGCCAATGTAGTGTGATGGCCTGATATATCCCATTTAGAAAATTAGACCTTACTCACTTCACACTTTGGAAAGTGTAGTGAAGGAATGACAGTGGTAAGTGCTCAGGCTCTTCCAATCCCTAGGATTAGAACTAAAGCACCAGAAACCACAAGACATTAACCTTGGTCAGTGCTCACACTGTGGAGCTTTTGATTCAAAGTTTGTAGCACTAGCCTTAGAACCTAACAATCAGTCCTGAGTTTAAAACATCGGCAATAGAACTAGCATTTCAGCTTGGCCTAGTAAGAATGCTTTGTTTTTGTTCTATGTTAGTGGCTTTTGTGAGCAGTATTTAGGATAGAATATTGTAATCTAATTGGAGAGCTCTTCACAAAATGAGCATTGACTACTGTAAAAGAGCACTTTGCTATGCTGTTATGGTGCGTCTCAAGACACTTGCCGTCTGAAGTNTAAATCAGAGCATTGGGTTCTAGAATAGGGTATCATTTTTCGCGAAACTGACAAGTTGGTTGAAGATTTTATCTAGACTAAGGAAACCAGGAATTGCCACTCAAAAGTATAAAAAAATCAACTCGGTAAGTTTAAATTTACGCAAATAAGCCGCAACAGTGTCGATTGATAGCGGGATTTGGGGAGTTTACTCTAGAATAGGGTAGCAAAATTCAGCTGAACTAGCTCTGGTTTAGGCTAAGGGTTCCAGGGTCCCAGCGGCACATCGCTACCCAGAAATTCTTAAAGTAACCCTCCCCCCCCGCCCCGCCCGGGCCACAGACGAACATGTCCGACGATACGCAAATATTTTCGCACACCTTTCTGTATTGTCCTTCAACTTTATTCAAATGTACAATTTTGTTAACAGCACTCTTGGAAACCAATGAAAACGACTCTATCAGTTGTCTTTTATGCCATACTTTAAAAATATTTAATTTATTACCCAGTGACAATCTTAACGTAGGCCCTTCCCCAGTGTGAGGGTTTTCTTATGTTATTAACCTTTTTAAAATTTTATCGTGTAGACGGAGCTGGCACCCAAGGTCGACCATGCGCCGGTCACAACAAACTTAAGTGCTAGTGAGATTGATTAATTACTAATTTCATACAAAATGTTCACAATGAATCGATAGTAACGGATTCATCCCTGAGCCTTGATCAAAGTGATGGGAATTGTTCAGCAATTTTTTTTTTGCTACTTGGTAACGCTATGTTCACGCTTGATACCGGAGCACGGTTTCATAGTACGATTCTCGATCGCTAGGCACTAACTACAATGTGAACACCACCTTTTTCTTCCAAGTACTTACACCAGAATTCGGGCACAGTGCCCGGGTACAAGGTCTCGTCCTTGCACTCGCATAGTGTCTAAACGCAACACTGTTTTGTGCTGGCGCCCAGGCACCAGTGCTTGGGTACCTAGCGTTGACACAGGCTACGACATGGGCCGCAATTAGCATTTCTTTTACGTTTGAAGTTTTTAGTTCACGTTTACTGGTTTTGGAATTGGAGTAACCAGAGCGACCATTGTTTTAAATCCAGTTTAGGCGACGTCCATAACGCTGTCTAAACCGCACATACACTGTAAACTAGAGAGAAGTGCGTGGAAAAATACGAGGACTTGAATTCGGCACCTCAGGTTATAAGTTTCAGCCAGTTGTTGTTGTTGTTTTTGGAGGGGAGGTTGTCCCTCTCAAAGGGCACGGTTTTTTTTAGCTGTTTTTTTGCCAGAAATAAAGGACAATTATAAATTTTGACCAGTTTGCGCTCAAATAAGGTATAATTGGTACAAACTTGTGAAGTTCGATTAAATTAACATCGGAAATTTGTTTCAGTGCAGAAATATTAAATAGTACCAATGCAGGGTATGGTTATTGACCAAGCATGAGGTCAAGATGGTTGGATACTGGCCAAGTTCTTTCTTTACGTGTTTATGAACCGAGACGGAGTCGAGGTCCATAAACACGCAAAAAGAGAACGAGGCCAATTTCCAGCCATTGACTATTCACCGAGCTTGGCCAAAAAAGGATTAGAACTGAACACAGCGTGTAATCCCGAGCGGACAAGATAGCGCCACCTTGACCACTCCTGTAGCCAATCACAGTGCAGGATTCAGTTCATCTTGCCTGCTCATGGAGCCAGCCATATCATAAATGAGAGCCGTTGAGCAAAAGTGAGGTCAAGACAACAGGATATTGGCCAAGTTTTTTTTTGTTTATAGACCGAGACGGAGTGGAAGCTTATTAACACGCACAAAGAGAACGAAGCCAATATCAAGTCATCTTGACCGAACTATCTTGGTCAATAAAGGATTTATTACATAGCTTCGGAGAAATTTTTCTTGCGGGACACAGCGCGTAATCCCGAGCGGGCAAGATAGCGTCATCTTGCCTGCTTGGGTAGCCAATCACAGCACAGGATTTTTTTCATCTTGCCCGCTCCGCCATTATAGTGAGAACAGTTTTCATAGTTAATTTTGTTGCTTGTGAAATTTGATTATAAATCTCGGCGGACATATTTGGCTGCAATGAACATATGATTTTGTCATTTATATCCATAGAAGTAATTTATGCATTCGCTAACACTAAGTTACACAGAGAGTAATTGACTAAACTCAGCCGTGACACAGCCCCTTTGAAATAAAAATAATTACAGTCCACTATACTTACAATTTAAAAAGTTCCTTGGTTCCCTTTCCAACTTTCTGAAAACTCTTCTTTATAGAAGAAAGCTGCATATTACTGAAAATGTCATTTCCTTTGTTTAAAATCTCCTTTTCTAATGCGTCAAATAGTGGCCCGGTATTAACCCCAGCCTCAGAAAAACACCAAGCAAAGTCATAAATGTCCCTTGCTGTTAAATCCGAAAAATCGTTTGTTAACAAAGAAGACTGCAAACTTTCGTAGAATTTTCTACTACCCCTTTTGGCTTCAATGTATCCTCGCAGAAGCATGAACTTTTGAACCCTTGAAAACTGGTGCAAACCACGTTTAAAAACCTCTGCTTCAATCACATTTAACATTTTACTGTCCGACTTTCTTGCTCTTCCAAGAGACCAAGCAACTTGGCTTAAATGACCATTGCAAAATTGTTTCGCATCTCTTGACTGCAACTCACATTCAATTTCGTTAACTAACTTGTTGTCATGTCTTCGAGCTGACACAAACGAATGGAGAATAAGAACAAGCTCATGAAACTGAAACTTGCCGACACCACGGTTGAAAACCTCGTCCTTGACAACATCAAACACTTGGGCCTTTGTTATATTTCTCCGAGCAAACGACCCAACAATTTGTAACAGTTCCGCGTTGTTGAATCCCTCTTTTCCTTTGACGACAATGTCATTGTCCAGAGTATTGAATAGCTGCTTGCCCCCTTTCTTTGACATGCCAAATGCCCAGAGTATCTGAAATATATCACGCCTCTTCAAGTTAGCTGTTCCTCGTCTCAGAATTTCTTCTTCCACCTTGTCAAACAACGTGTCTGCCTTCAACTCCTTCTTAGCAAAGGACCACACAAAGAGAGCCAAGTCACTGCTGCTCATCAACAAGAAGTCTCTTGATAGAATTTCTTTCAAGAAAATGTCAAACAGTTCAACAGCACAGCCATCTGACTTGGCAAACAACATCAACATGGAAGAAAGTAACTGATTGTCGAAGTTAGCAATTTTCAACTGACCGTTACGAATGGATTCTTGTAACGTGAAAGATATTTCTGTAGCTGTCAAGTCCAGGTTTATGCATCCATTTGCAATCTGGGTAATATTTACCTTGTCAAAGGCTGTGATGTCACGAGACAGAATCACCCTCTCGCAAACTTGAACTAGCTCGTGATCTTTCTCTTGAACTTTTCCCAAAGCCCAAATCACATTTGCAAGATCCCAGGGTTTGCATTTGGCAATGTCTTTGGAGATGCTGTCCAGCAATGCCAGGTATGCACTGTTAAACGCTTGTCTTGACTTGCCTTTTTCTTGTTCCAAAACCCGCCTCTGATTTCCATCTCTTCCGGTGATCTTGGCAATGCTATGAAGCATGGTCACTCTGTTCACAATGCTAGCTGAACTCTTGATACTCCCAAACAACTCAAGTTGTTCTTTGACTGTTTTAAGTGACAATATTACCTTGTTGAGTTTAATATCATCTTCAGACGGGCGCGGTTGAGAAGAAAAGTCGTGAACTGATGGTCTTAAAAAGTAGCTGCGAAATTCTCTTTGTTTTAGAACCTTGAGTGATGACCATGAAGTCTGGGACAAGTTTTTGAACTCTTTAAAAGTGCATGAAGAAAACAAAGGAGAGAGACGACAATGTCGTAAGAAATGTAACCTTGCAAACATGGACAGGGCCCTCATTTCATAGATCGTAGGCCTAATTACTGAGTACTTCTTGTAAAGTCCAGCAGAACGTCCTCTGTATTCGTTTCTGAAAAGAAAGAAATAAGAATTTTAGATAACATGTAAAACATATTACTGATCATCCAATCACCTAACTATTAGGATGAAACTCCAGCCAATTATCTCAATGATAAACGGACTCAAAAGAGTACAAAACTGTTCCCCACCTCACCCTTCCCAGGGGTGGATCCAAAGTAGTTCAAGTGATTTTCAGAAATCATTCAAATGTATCCAAAACCTCTTAGAATGCAGGAAAATTGCATTCTGAGAGCACTAAATTTCAAATTTTCTTGGGGGAGCATGTCCCCAAACTCCCCTAGTTAAGGTCATTCCCCAGTATTGCATTGCGCATCCCTACTGCGCATAATTTCACGCGTGATTAGCGCGCGCGCATTAAAAAATGGCGGCTTTTTCTTTACAGCTTGACCTCGCCAGAGAGGTAAATCGTCATTTTCTCGCACACTAGTATGGTAACCTATCATTTTTTTCTGTTGTTTTGAACTGAGTAATAAATTTCTCTGTGTAAAATAAATATCGAGCAATTCTCAGTGTAGAACAAAAAGCAATCGTCGCAAACGTGAATTTAGCAAGCAATCGTGACAACAATCATGGTGCTATCATAAGGATTTATATGGGTATAAACAAGGTGCTGTTGCTCCTAAACGAACATGGGGACCCCTCATTTTTATTTCAAAATTTAATTTCCTATAATATAACCAATCAATAGGCGAAGTTTCACAAAAATCTCAGTGCAGGTTCTATTTCAGTGGAATGACCTTAAGTTGGTGCAAATCACTCATGTAAAATCCTGGATTCACCCCTGCAAAGTTCCCTCCTTATGAAAAATGAAGACTGACCCCCAATTCCAAATGTAAGGTACAAAAACCCCTTACAATAATAGCCAAGGGCCCAATGGCTCAGAAAGTTAGGTTCAGTATAGTTCTAACATGAATATGGGTTGTTGATCAAACAAGAGGTCAAGATGGCTGGTTGTTGCCCAAGTTCTTTTTCTGTATTGACCGAGATGTAGTCAAGGGCCATGAGCTGACAAAAAAGAATGAGGCCAATATCCAATCATCTTGACAGAACAAGCTTGGCAACTAAAGGACTTAATATATGGAAAAGAACACTATTTTCTCACGGGACACGGCAAGTCCCAAGAGGGCAAGATAGGGCCATCTTGCCTGCTCGCCAATCACAGTGCAGGATTCGGTTAATCTTGCTTGCTCACGGAGCTAGCCGTAAAATAATAATCACCGTAACAAATAATACCGGTACATGCATTATGGTAATGATCACAACAGTAAAGATCTGCTTGTACACTAATGTAACTATCAGCCATTAGTGAGCAATGACGGGAGGGTTTTCCCTTCAGTAATTTACCATCGCCTATTTTGAACTCCCGCTATTTCGAACTATTTTCAGTTTCCCGAGAGTTCGAAATAGCGGGGTTCAACTGCTTTATGACAGTAAGAGTAAAGGTTTAAGTCCATCCCTACCCTAGAAACTAGAGCCTGGGGAGTGTAAGGTGTCAGGTAAAATGCAATCTAAGCCAACAAATTAAGGGTTAACTTGTACTGATTTTGTATGGCCAATAACTAATACACCCATACAATTCCTCTGATCATGGACACTGATGCAAAAGTTGTCTGGGCAGAACGCTAATATGAAAAACAGTGGGTGACTATTATGCTTTTTAAGGGCTAATTTCTTTTATGAGTTAAAATTTGTGGTATGACACTGTTTGGTACTGCAACAACCACTAGAAGTGCAGCATTACAATGCATTTTTGGATGTAAATAGTAATAATTTATTATTATTGATATATGGCTGAAGCTTAGTTAAATGCAATGTGCCCTCTTATAGATTGAGTTATGGCCACATGGCAATGGCTAAATCATGCAATTATTGCTCTTTCTCACACCAACTACAGGCTACTTTGACCTCTTCACGATTTATTACTTTACACTAAACACCAGGTATGTAACAAAACACTTAATTGCTGGTCCCTTAGAATACAGTTAGTTTTGTTTCCCTTGACATCACGGGAAAAATCAAGATTCTCGGGAGAACAAAACTGACTGTTTCCCTAGCACCCAATAATTAATTGTCTGTATTGCTGTAGCTGCAAGGCTGTAACAGGATCTACATGTACTTGTCAAACAAGGAGGCAATCAAAACAGTCTACAGTGATGTTTTAAATATTGCAAAAAATGTTAAATTTGGGTAGCTTTTAATAGTTATAATGAATGAAACCCAAGCCCACAAAACCAGATTGTGATACTTTTTAAAATTGGCCTCTAAAAAGTTTAAGCAAAGGCACTCTACTGACAACTAGCAAAAAAAAAAGTCCCTTCCTCCCAGGATTACCGGAGCCTGGTAGATCATGGGTGCTGGTAGACTACGAGTAGTCCCTCTTTCGCCTAGTCCGTCGTGCGTGACGCGAAAGAAAACCGAGAGAAAAAAATAGCCGCGCGAAATCCTGGAGGCGAGGAGCGCACGAAAGGAGGGACTACCGCCTAAGCCCAA